CCTTTAAGGTGCCTCAAGTTGGGAACCCAAAACTTGGAGCACGCCAAATCACTAGCCACTTTTGAAAATATATGCCAACCTGTTTTGTGTGTATCCTGCATGCAGGTCAGAGGTCTTCAGGCTAAACTGAGGCCAGACGTATGTTTCAGTGTCTACTGTTATTTGAGTGTACTTTCAGCATAATGCATGGAGCTCTGTAATAAACTGAGTAGCTGTGATGCTTCATAAAATAACTCCCCCCCCCCCAAAAAAACAACTTGCATTAAAAATGTCTTTAGTTAGGGAATCAATCATCCAAGAAACTGTATAAAGAATAGGGATATTCTTCCAGTCACATTGCTCAATTGTCTGAAAATTCCTAACCTTATAAATCTGCCTCACAAAAGGAACAGTATCCATCATAACAGACTATGCCATTATACATTAGACATGATGCATCATGCAACCAAGTGCAACAAATAAGGGGGGGAATTGGGAATTTGTTTTTAATGTTTTAATGTTGAATTGAAATTCAAAAATTTTTGTTACTTCAGAATAAATATACACATTGCTCAGAGGTAACTTCTATTTGTACTAAAGGGTTTCTTGTTCACAATTTAGGCAGTTGGATAAAACCCACTTAATTTCTCTTTGTAATCCTCTGACACAATGCTGAACTACTCATAAGGATCCTCTAATATCAAAATACATTAAACAGTGTTATTAATAGGCTGGGTTAGAAAATATTTAGTAAAGTAATAATTTTCTACTGCAGAAAGATTGATATTCGTGGCAAAACATGGAACCTAGAGACTTAATCAGTTATTAGTCTAACTACCCTGTCACCAAAACAAAACAAAAATATATATAGCAGGTGAAATATTGCTATATCTTAGTTTTTCTTCACCCTCGCCTACGTGGGTCAACTCTGACATAAAGATGAAAATTTTATGCAGAAACAAAGACCACACAAAAAATACATAGGATGAGTTAATAAGTTAATTACAATAAGACTTAGCACAGCTATTATTTCCAGTTTACCGCTTGTTACCAGTTGAGTTTTTCATGAGCTATCACCATTACATACAGTACTACCATTTAGCTGTGCTGAAGTGATTTTCCTATAATCCCACAACACTGCCTAAAGGAACTAAAACACAATGTGAGATTTTGTAAATGTGTCTCTAAATGACTAAATCTTTCAAAAGATTTTTAATTTTTGTTCTTAATTTTATGAGGGAAAAATTGATCCATAATATATATTTATAATAGTATTCTCTATTTGTTCTTTAGTATTCCTTTTCTCTGTGAATACACGTATTCATTTTGTATAATTTCAAGCCTTCATCTCAGCCATGAATTGTATCAGTTAAAGTTCCTTCTTCCTTTGAAAAAATTGAATTTACTGCTCTTCCAAGTTTGAATGAAAACCTTTGAGACTAGTTTCTGTATCTTCCGTTTTTGAGACAACAATGAAGCAAGTTTGTTTATCTAGCCTACAGTAGTTTGGCACCCGGATAGCCTTTTCAATCACAGAAACACATTGACCATCATTACTAGTATCCCTAACACTATGCATAAAACTATTCAGATTATACTGACATACAATTTGACTGGGATAAAATGGCTTAAGTACTTATGTGGCGAGAGTTTTACTGTAATTTTAAGAAAAGTAGAGACTATGGGTTAAGTTTTCAAAATTATCTAAGTGACTTAGGAGCTCAAGTCCCATTTTCTAAAGTGATGACATAGACACTTAAGAACCGAAATTTCATGGAATTCAATAGGACTGAGGTTCTTAAATTCTCAAAGTTACTTTTGAAAATTTAACCCTCCCACTAGATAACTAATTTTTAAACCAGAATTGTGCATGCTGTGTGAAGCTTCCAAGATTCCGCACTTAGGACTTTCTAGGAGGGAGGAGGAGGAGTGGTGACCCAGCGCTTCCCCGCTCCTACCCCGCCCTCCCAGCCCTTTGCGCTTAGGACTTTCTGGGAGGGAGGGGGAGGAGCGGAGACGCAGCGCTTTCCCACTCCTCCCTCTCCCTCCCAGAAAATCGTAAGGTGAGGGAAGCGCTGGGAGGTGAGGGAAGCGCTGGGAGGGAGGGGGAGGAGGCGGAGAAGAGAAACTTGTGCAATGCTCCCTTGTAAAGTCGCTGCTCTTCCACAGAATCTTACAAGCAGTGGACAGAGCAGGCAGCCAAACGACGTTAAAAGGGAGCATTGCACAACTTTAAATGAGGTAACTTTGAAACAACGTTAAGCGGCAGGGCGTTAAGTGAGGAGTTACTGTATGAGTAAGAGGATCAGAATCTGGCCCTAAGATGTTAGTGGGGGGAAGTGGGAGGAAAGCAGCCTAGGACGTAAGGAGGACTATTAAAGGGAAGTGGAGGGGGAATAGGCAGTAGCTAAATAATCAAATTATGCAATAAAATGTGTTTTTCATGAACCTATTTAGAGACTTCATGATTTGTAATATTGTTACTGTAACTTCTCCATTACTTTCCCCAAAACTTAGCATGAAACATACACCCCTAATGATGTGAAAAAATAGCTATGCATAAGAAAATAAAAATAGAGTATATTACCTTTTCTTTATTTTCTCATAACTATCCAACAACACCAGGATTGGGATTCCCAGATCCTTTTGCTAGGCCAAGGAGTAGAATTTAGGCATATATGTTAATTAAAGATCATGGGACCTGAGGCAACAAAAGAGTTCAGAATCCAGCAATAGTTAAGACCATGTCTGCCCTACATAAAGCACTGGAAATGTTTGAGTAAACTAGTAGTTATTAACTTTCCCCTTGGTGAAAATGACTCTCTCTTTTTCATAAATAAAGAGTAAATAAGTTAAAAGAGAGATTGAGTCAGGGAAAACGGGCACACCTTGAAAAAAACAAAACAAAACGTGAACAACATGAAGATTCAGGCTCAGGGGACTGAAAGAGCCTTGATTTGTATAACAGTAATTTGAAAGACCACCTAGTGTCGAATAATGTAGGATCAGGCCTTTGCTTCCAAATATTCTTCAGAAGAAAAAAAACTATCTTGTATTTCCTAATAACTTGACCTTTTCTCAGTTTTAATACAGTTTCACATTCTTTTTGTTTGTTTGTTTCACTTTATTGTGTTCAGTTTAAAATAAACAGTACTTATAAAAATAGAAAACAAACCTGAGTATTTGCATGTGGACATCTGGAGGAAAATTCACTTCAATGCTACAAGCACAGCTGTAGGAATACTTAGTATCTCTGCTTTTTTTTTTAGTTCAAATTTTGAGATTCTGGGGTTTTATCTAAGAGAATAATTAGTGGTAGACATATCAAAATGCAAGATTTCATACTTAGATTGCTACTCTCCTTTAAAAGAAATACTATCTGATTGAAACAAGGGATAATTTAGCATGGCTGTATGGTAATAAGGAAATAATTATGGCTTTGGTTCTGGAAAACATTTAAGAACATGCTTAAATCCATCACTTCAGGACATCACTTAAGCATGTTTAACTTTATTCAAGTGCTTAAGATCCATTGACTTAAAATTCACATGCTTAAAAGTTGTCCGAAATAGGGAAGCTTTCCTGAATTAGAGACTGTACCAAGATGTGATGTAGGGTAACATAAGTCTTTTAGTAAACTGTAATTTCCTTTTCAGCTTTGCATATTATAGATATGTCCAAAGGCTCAGTCCTTCACTGCTTGTGCATATAAAACTGCCTTTGACTTGACTGGGAGTTTTGGTTACATTCAGAATGCAGAATCAAGCTCATAGTCAGTATTGTGTTAGAAGCTAGTAAAAGCCCATATCATAAAATTCTGGTCTGCACCTTGGCACTGTTGAAACTATGAAAAATCGAGTTGTCAGTGTTAGCCCAGTCTTGAAAATGAGCATCCATGGAAAGGCCCAGATTCTGCATTGCGATTCACAAGTGCATTTTCAGTTGATTTCAGTAATAGATGTGAGTGCAAATCTGAGGGCAGAATTCAGCCAGTATTGATTATTAAATCAGACTTTCCAGTGGTTCTCAACTCAACTTTCATCTTATTTGTTCCTTAGGGTTTGTTTTTCTTTGTGCTGTATTAGGTTTAAAATAATAATGTTCAGTGATTAATTTTGATATTGTCTTATCTGAAAAATAAAAGCCCCATCTCTTTGTATAATTTAGAACTGTACAGAATATATGAATGTACAGTGGATATAATCGTGCGTTCTCAGGGGATGTCCAGGATGACTTAATAGTTCTTTTTCATTTCTAATATCTATGATTTTGTGAAAACAAAATGAACACTTTCCATTTTTGTCTTTCTGTTAGTCAAGTGTTAAAGTCCCAATCAAAATAGCCAGCAAGCAATGTGAACACTGCTGTATCAAAACTTGGTTTTTATTTCAGTTGTTGTTCCTTTTAATATACTGTTGTATTTCTTTATTCTATTTGTATGTATTAATTATAACTATAATCACTGAGATGTTAAAACGGGGATTGCAATATATGTTGCATTAAGAAAAGGTAAAACAAATCCCTCTTTAAAGAGAGTGAAAATAAACATGGACCTCCTAGCCAGACAAAATTGTCAAACTTTGGTGTCTAAAGTTAGGTACCTAAATCCATATCAAGTCAATGAGTCTGAGTCAATGATCTGATCTTCAGCAGGGCTGAGCACCCGCAACGTCCATTGACTTCAATGGGAACCTTGGTGCTTAGCACATCTGAACATTAGGTCATTGATTCAGGTGTCTAAGCAGGGATGTAATTGCCTAATTTTAGGCATCCACATTTGAAAATGTTAATGGTAATAATGATTTATTGTTCTGGGGAAGATGAAAGAATAGACACTATCAGTCTTATTTTGTAGTGTGTCTTTCTATCTTTCAGCTGCATTTTCCAGTTATCTTCTAGTTTCATATTGAGCACTCCTGAGACAGAAAGAAAAATGCAAAGATTTCCAGATTGCTGTAAAATAAAAGAACTGGGGATGAGGAATAGAAATATTTACTTAATATTTATTCTTTTCTTTCCAGCTCCAAGTACAGCCCAGTATGGGATTACCGGTGGTGCTGAAGTTCTGTTCTCCTGCTGGTACCTTGTGTTGACACTATCCTCTTTCACCAGCATATTCTACCTGAAGAACATCATTCTACAATAAATATAAAGAACCATGAAAGGCTTTTAAGGATTCTCTGAAAGTGCTGATGACTGGAGCCAATCTGGTAGAGTTTGTTAAAAGCAGCGTGGGATATAATCAGCAGTGCTTACATGGGGATGATCGCCTTCTGTAGAATTGCTCATTATGTAAATACTTTAATTCTACTCCTTTTTTTGATTAGCTGCATTACCTTGTGAAGCAGTACACATTGTCCTTTTTTAAGACGTGAAAGCTCTGAAATTACTTTTAGACGATATTAATTGTGATTTCATGTTTGTAATCTACAAGTTTTCAAAAGCATTCAGTCATGGTCTGCTGGGTTGCAGACTGTAGTTTACAAAAAAAAAATATTGCAGTGAAAATGTGATTCTTTAAGGCTGCAATACAAGTATTCAGTTCCCTCTTTAAATATGATTCTATCCACATTTATTCAGAAGCATTTTTATTTTAAAAAATCAAATAATATTGCCTTCAAAACATTTCTTCAAAATATAACACATATCTAGATTTTCTTCTAGCATGATATTCAGGTTTCAAGAATGAGCCTTGTAATATGACTGCATAAAGCGGTTCTGCTTCCCCACCCCGCCCTGTAAATTCAGCATGGGTGTGCCTTCATAAAATACTACTTTTCTCTTCCTCTCCAACAATTCTGGAATGTGTACTGGTAAATGACAACATGTAAATTCAAGCGTACCTAATCTCCAGTTGAGGACAAAGATGCTATTGGCTAAAAAGAATACCTTCTCTTCCACCTCCAGTGGGGTAATGGAACTGCTCCAAACTCTGCCCACAACAATTAGACTACATGGTATTTTTTAACCAGTCAATCAAAAATAGCACAGGTATATTTCCCTTGTTTTTTCCCTCTAGTGTAGTTAATTTGTAGATTTTGTTTGTAAAACAAGTTTTCCCGGTATAAAATACAGCACAACTCTCTTAAGAGACTTCTTGTGAATGTAGCACTTTTCCCTTTCATTACTCTAAGTCAGAACTCTTAAAAGGCTGTATATGTGAGATGGTGACAGTCCCTTTTTTATTATTGGCCAGTACTACATGAATTGATATTCTTGCACTGGAGTTGTACTGATCAGCTAACTTAGCAATGATACTTTCATTGCAAATGTTTTTAAATCTCAGATAGCTGAGAACATAGGAAGCATTGAACATACATTTAATATAGATATATTGAAAAACAAGTGGCTCCAATAACTATATTTTGGTGCACCTTACAAATGGCGTCACATTGCATCTTAATTGCCAGAATTTCATTAATGCACTGCTAAGATGTATGAATATCTTACCATAACAATTAATTTCACCTTTCATAAATGACTCTTGCAGTCCCCACATATTGCATTGAGTTCAAGAGAAGTTTTGCCTGAGTAACGGATTGGATCCTAAAATAGCATATTTTATTTCTATGGATATAATAGAGTTGTTGGTTTTTTTTAAAACAGCCTCTAATTTTGCTCCCAAATTATTGTACAGTCATGCTGTAAATTAATTGTGAGCACTAAGTTGCACTTGCAAAACTGGAGGCTGAAGCAAGGTCCCTTTAAAAATTTGACTCATTATAAAAGTTGACCATATATGGTCCAGTCCATCACCCATTGTAGTCAGTACAAAGATACCCACCCACTTCAGTGGAATTGGATTGGGCCCATATAGAAAGAGCCACTGGTGATAAGAATTTCTAATTAAAACATTAATTACAATATAAAATTATCCATTCACTTGTTCAATATATAAAACCACAGTATATAATAACAAGACTGCTGCCGTGTGAAAGTTGGAGTTATTTATATCAAAAGAAGATTGTCACTGAACACCATATTGCTAATTTGGCTACTTTTTTAGTATCACTGCCACAGAAATTTCACTCAGACACACTCCTACTCAGTCATTTTTTGCTACTGTGTTAAGCTCCGTAACTAGCTATCTGGGTACTGTACATATTCAGCACTTTCAAGTTCATTTTGCAAATATCCTATTTTTTAAAACTCAAATTATGAATTTCTTTAGTACCTTGATCAACTGGCCCATTACTAATATATAAACAAAATATGCAGCAAATATGTTGAAATTACTAAATGACACTTAGATAAGGAGCATAAAAAGAATACACTGACTCCATAACAGGGCAATAAAATGTATTGAATCACGCTGTTTGTGTTCAGTAACAGAGTAGAATATTTCTATTATTCTCTTAAACTTGTGCGTTAAGCAGGTTCTATTTTCATCAATATGGCATTTTTTTAAAACCTTGAATAACATGATGACATTTTATTGGTTGAGGAAGCAGTGTATAAAACAGTACGAACCATCTTGTACACTATCCTGACATTCTGATCACTCTTGTATTGCAGCTTTAAAGTGCTAAGCTCTAGAATCCATTCAATAGAAAAAATGGTGCTGCAGAAAGTATTACATGTGAGTACAGTTTTAGGAAGAAAGAAACAGATCAAGGAGATGTATAACTCAGATGCCTCTTCTCACATGAATTAGGAATTGTTTCTATACTGTAGCTGGACCAAATTCTAGATTTAGGCTAATTGTTTTTTTTTTCATGATTACTGACACATGGAATGTGAGGATTCTGGCAGCAGAATAGAGTATGGAAACATTTTTATTAAATATGAAAAAATTAAGTATTTACTTTTTTTGCATCATGAGAATATTCTTGCCAATAAAGCCACTGGAAAACACAGGCCAAATTTTCAACCTAGCCTCTGAATTTGCACTTGCAATTTTTGTGAGACAGTTTGTAGCATGCAAAAATCCACGTTTGTGGGCGCAACATTTGCTTCTGCAAACTAGGTACCTAAACATCTATCGGCTCTGCATGTTCAAAAGTGATAATTTGTATGTGCAAATTTAAGAGACCAATCCTGTGCATAAGTACTGGGGCCACTCACATTAACACTATGTCGGTCATTAAATGTTTGTAGGATTGGTCTCTCACAGGGTGTTTATGAACATCTGACCATCTAAGGCTCCAATTGTGCAAAGGGTTATGCATATGCGTAACTTCATGCACTGAGTAGTCCCAAAGAAACTACTCACAGTACATAAAGTTAAGCACATTCCTAAGTTTTTGCAGGGTTGGGGCCCAACTCAATATTGGTCAAATAAAGTTACTTGCGTCTTAGGTTAATCTGTTCCATATGGTAACCTGATAATTGTACAGTTTGAGACTTATGGGACATTCTTTCAACATGGACAGTGCGGACTGTTGCAGATTAAATACAGTAGCATTTTACAAAATTGATCTTTTAATCTCTGGCATATATTTGTCTTCTAGCTGATACTTTCATGATATAGTCTATGCTCATCCAATTGATACCCCTTACTGTTCAGACTTTTTAATCAAGTATTATTATATTTATCCCACCATGAAAAAATATAGAAAATAAATGGATTTGCTCCAAACAGTACAACATTTCTTATGCTAAAACTGTTGTCCCGCACTTGAATTACTAAAGTTTGTAATTCCATAAGTTCCTGAATGTGCAATAACACAGGTCTATTAACTACCATTGCATTGATGACATATGTGGGCAATGGTGCTGTAATTATAGTGTTGCTGATCATGATTCTTTACTAATATTGAATTTAAGGATGTCTCAGAATTTCTAATACAAACAGTTTCTCAAGGGTTTATAACTTGGCAGGAAAATGTATTCTTCATAACTAGACAGCTTTTTTAACTTTTCTATATATATTTAGAAAATATGCTGTTTCTAAGAGACAGGAGTATTGAAGACATTACCAGTGAAAGCTGCTCTTTTGCACATTTTCAGAGTTAGCACTCTAGCAAAATAATGGTAAACGTTATGCCTACCAAAATATCTGCTTACCCCACATAACTGTGTATTAATGAGTGTGTATACCAAAATATGTATTTACCTGGAAAAACAATATGCCTTAAAGCCTAAATATGCATTTACTTCTAAGACTGGATCTTGCTCTTCCAGTTTGGAGGTAAATAATCCATATTTCACAATCTGCCATGGAAGATTTTGTTTCTTAAAAAACAAACATGCTCAGTTCTTTTTAAAAAAGTATTAAATAATTTTAAAGTTCTTGCACAAACTAATATATGTGAGGAAAGGAAAAGTTAGGATGAAACTCTATCCTGACACTCTGACCTTCTGAACTGCAGACAAATCAACTTGTTCTCAGCAATTTTTGAACTGAGAAAATGACAAGGAGTTTGGTGGTTGCCACTGAAACTTTTACATTTGCAAGTAAATATTACAGAATTCCCTATACTTACTAAAGGAAATGCTGTGAATAGGGTGGTAGGGTACGTTAATGCAAGGGCATATGTAAAGATTTTTATAAGTATCACTGTATGCTCATTTTGAATTTTTCTTCTCTCTCTCCCTCTCACAGGAGCCCCCTCCAGCTAGCCCTATTTCCCTGTTCTTCCCCAACACAGTAACATTTCTTCCACCTCCCAAGCCTTCTGGGATAGAGTACATCCTATTCTCTTTCTGCCTTCTTGCTCAGTTCCATCCCCTACTCTCTCAAATACACACTGATCACTTCCTTCTGATTGCTGGCCTGAGAGTTAGGTCAAGAAAAAATAGCTGGGGACATAAATTATTCCAGGAGTTTCTGGCAATTGTGAGGAAAGATAGTCATATCAGGAGTGCAGCCAGGCATAAGGAAGGTGTCTGGCTGTAGGGAGATAAGGCAGGACTATACTTACTGTTTGCAGAAGTCCCCGCTGGCCCTACTTCCCAGCTTCTGGAAGCCTTCACTCATTCACAGCACTGTACCATCATTGACAGTGGCTTTCCAAAATCCTTAGGACCACATGCAGCTTACACTGGCCTAAGTGCAGAATTTAAACTTTAGAAAACAGTTGTCCTGAAACCCTTAGAGAACTGACTAATTAACTCATCATATTGTTGTACCTAGTACTGAGCCTACTGTAGGTATTATAACGGTCTCAGAATAGGGCACAGTGTTAAATACAGTACCACATTTCCTAAAGGCCTATGCAGCAAAAAGCACCAGCTTAGCTGCTGACCTAAAGAAGCTCTACATGCCTCATTAAAGCTGCTTTCTGTTCTGAGGGAGAACTCTCTCCCAGGTAACAGCCTCATGATGCTAAGTGAGGTAATAGGCAATCAGCTGACTTAGCCCTTCTATCTCCGTTCATGTGGCATTCAGAGGGGTTGAAAATGTACTGAGCATGCTCAGTGCATCCTCAGATGTCCTTATATCAGATGGACATTCCCTTTGTTGATGGACATTGAGCCTGCTGGGGAAGATCTGTGGAGAGGAAGTGTGGTCTGATGACAGTAGATCAACAGGACTGAATTCTGACAACAGGAGCGAGCACATTGCCTACAGATTACTCCTTTCCCCCATAATAAAATAGCGCCCGGGAGGGAGGGATGACAGGACATCCCAAACTACCCCACACCAGCATCTGGGGTAGGGGGAGATATGGCTCATGTTGCAAAGAGAAATATCTTAATTATTCAAAAAATGGTTCTTAGGCCAGAGCTGGCTTCACTCAGTCTTTTGTGAGGCTGCACAATGTGCTAGGATGGTTGTAATTTCCTGAGACCATGTGCCCTAGCTAGAGGTGGATAGGTAGATTATTGTTGGTGGAGAGTTGGGGAACTGTTCCCACCTCCAAGCTACATAACTATCCCCAAGCTTTTTAGTTTATGTAGGTTTTGCCCTCTGCACAGCACAACTTTTCTTCTGAATAGGTCTACTTGAGATCTGCTGATCTAGAGCCAGTATATCCTTAACTTTTCTGGCAGTGCCAAAATTTATGTCACATTTCCCCAAGTCACCATCACTGCTGAGCACTAATTACTATATGCATATTTGTTCTTACCCTAACACGTCTACTTTCTGTTAACCATATGCCTAATTTCTAGAGTTTGAAGGCTTCTCAACTATATGAAATTTTGCTCTAAAATTTAGATATCAACATATTCATTTTACACTTCCGATAAACCAGAGATGAATCACAGCTAAACTCAGGATGCCCTAAATTAGATTTTAAAATATATTAGAAGCTCAGCTCTCCCATGTTTCGGTTGGACCACATGTAAATCTGTATTTTAAAACAAGATTTGGGGCCAGATTCTCAGCCCTCCTATGACTATTTTATACCTCTCCAATGGCACAGAGAAAGCATAAAGCTGCTGGATCCAGCCCTTTGAGGATTCCCATTAAGGGGAATTGCTGAGTGATGTAGAATACTTTTGAGCAGCTCTACACCATCCATTATCTCATCCCTGGCACAGGAGCATTCTGATATCCCAGCTATCCTTGGCTGCTGGAATGGCCTCTTGGGGACTGCTCCAAGTTATGCCAGGAGCCATCTCCATCATTGGGTAAATGTAAGGGTGACATAAGGTCACCTTTCACTTTGATCTTGCTCTGAGCACAGCTCCGCCCAACCAGAGAATTTGGCCCTTAATCTTGAAGAACTTTAAATAGAAATGTAAACAAAAATGAAAAATAATGTAGAGACTGTAATTCTACTTGCAATCAATGTTCATCTATTCATTTTTTTTTTTTTTACTCACCTTCTTTGGGAACTATGAAACCTGGTAAAACTGAAACCACACGAAGTCAAATAGATTACATTTCTGCAGCAAAACACAGAATTTAAAGACAGGAAAGAAGACAATATTGTAAAGTTAATTCCAATAAGGTCACATGAATCTCCCCCGAAATGTTTTAAATATGTGAATATTCATTATTCCGTCACTGCCTTTTTGCAGCCTGCCAGCTAAATAAATGCCTGTAATGATGTATACATTATATTCAGTGTCCAGAGGGCTAAGCAGTCTGTTTTCCCCTAATGAACATCTATCCTCTTTATTAATTTCCAACCAAAAGCAAAACACAATTTACACATTATAAGATGTGAAATATGTACAATAACATAAGCGTTCCATTTAACAAACCCATTACAGTCATAAGTGCACAGCTCCCATTAACCTTAAAGGCATCTACTTAAATGTGATTCTCAAGTGAGAATAAACTCTAGGGATTTAAGATAACACTGATTTTGCCTTTTTGTATATTTCCAACTGTGGAAAGAGGGGACTCATCCCTTTTCTAGTTTTGTGGTTATGTCTTGCCCCTCCTCCCCCAGTATAAAATCTTCAGGAAAATTAATT